CTTCTTCGGATGCAGTGGGCTGTAGTCCACGAAAGCTTATGCTCTAATAAATTTGTTAGTCTCTAAAGTGCCACAAGTACTCCTGTTCTTTTTAATAACACAATGAGTCACTGAAATAAGTTCTCATGGGTTCCCCTTAAACGGTAGCTGTATGTTGCGTCCAAGATGCTATGAAGTAAAGTTAAATTTTTTTTTGAATGTTTACCAGAATCTCAGAAACCTGGAATTCTCTAAAATTTTATGTTTTCAAATGGAGAGATTAATAACTAATGAGCTTTGGACTCTTGTGTTATCTTTGTGAATCATGAATTTAATTTGGTAGATTTTTATTACTTGAATACGCTTCATATATAATGGGTGGTAACCCTGTAATTTGTTCTAGTTTCCTGTCAGAGTTTATACAGACTGCTCTCTTGTTTCCTGGGATAACTCTTTGACTGTTCAAGTCACATGAGAGTGTTCACTGCTGTTCCGTGTCTGGAACAGCTTGTGACTGTTTACTGGAAAAAGAAGCAGCTACATTGTAAAAATGTGCAGTGTAATATCTCTGAATAGCTTAATCATAGACACTGCCATAGAAAAACCATCTTTTAAGCTGTGGATTTGGCTAAAGCAAAATGTTTCCTGGTATTAGACTGATAATTGTTTCCACTTTATTTAGCTAGTTTCCTCTATTTTACGGAGGTTTACATTTTTTTGCATCCTTCTTCATATTATTCAGTATAGCCACTGAATAACAAGTGTTAAAGGTTAAGTGTCTTAATATGAAACTTAAGGATAAAGGTTTGGGATCACACTATTAAAAAATATAGACTTGCACTAAGGCCCTTGAAAATTCCATCTGTTAAAGGTTAACTGCATTGCAAGCTTTCACATTTGATTTAAAAGAAAAAAAACACAACCTTAAAAATACTTAAAAATGGTTGACAGCATACTGAGCCCTGACCCCTTTGCATGCTGAGTATTTTGAATAGCTAGATAACCAAACTCCTAGGTCAAAACTGATTCGACTTTAAGTGGGAGGGGGTGTTGTCAAAAGGTCTGACGTACTTCCATCATAAAAAGTAAGGCAGAAGAATGAATATTAATACATTAAAATGTGTCTGCACAAACATGAGGAATGGAGAGAGGAAGCAAGGAGGACTAGATATGATGATTAGTAAAATGAGAGGTGGTTTTACAAATGCATGAGGGCAGTAATAATGATAAAAAGGTCCATTAATAAGAGTGAAACAATAAGCTGACTCTCAGCTTATTGAACTGCTTCATAAAAAGACAGATTTACAAAGTCGTATAACAAGAAAATTATAAAATGGAAGCCTGAACAACTGTAAGGAATGAACACTGTGTTTAAAAAAATAAAATCCAATTGATAGAACAGTAAAGGAATACCACACATTTAAAATTTTTAGCATGTATTAATCAGCCATTCTGAATTATACGTTTCTTTAAGTATTAAGGGAAATAGTGTATTTGGTTCTGGACACCACATTGTTAGAGAAATATTGGTACATTGGATGGCTTCAGAGAAGAGCAACTAAATTATAAAGGCCCTGGAAGGTTTCACTTATGAGGAAGGACCAAAAATGTTTGGTTAAGAGACTAATACAGGCAGGGAACTTCGTGTAAAGTATATGAAGGTTGTTAGCACCAACGACAGAAAGGAATTTTAATGTGGTATTTGGTGGTACTTGACAAGAAAATATAAAATATACAATTTGGGGATTATGTAGATGGGATATCAGGAAAAACATCTTGACAGTAAGATGTGTTAGGTTGTGGAATAGTCTATTGGAAGCACTGAAACGTTATAATGTTCCCAAGTGATAACACTAGGAAGAATATTGGAAAATGTGCTGACCAGAGAGCTGGACTGTGGGTGACCCAATAAGGTCTCTTTCCATGTCTGATTCTGTAAATGATTTCTGCTGCCATTTAATTATAATCTGTGAAGTATATTATGGTAAAAACTTTTGGGCAACCAAAGCCCAAGGTACTGAGCACCATCAGGTCCCCTTTCTGGCAATTGGAGATAACCTTGCAGAATTAATCCCTAGATGAGCAAGTTAGTCTTCATCACTATTAAAACAGCTGTATGCACTCTTTAATACTTTAATAATTGAAACTATTTAAACTATTATAAACTTAAATTTCCATATGCATGCTCTTGTTACCTGTGGCAGTCGACAACTGAAGTGTTATAACAATACAAGTGGCTGCTCTGATATGGAAGAGAACTTTGTTTATATGTGGGGACTCGGCAAATAACAGATTGCACATCCTGAAGTAAAATGGGGGAAGCTGTATGTAGGTTGTAATTTAGCTTCCAAGAACTTCAATTCCAGATGCTAATGGGTAAAATTGTCTGAGGGGAGCTATAAAGGCTTTTTTGAATATAGCTTTCGATATGATCGGCCTCTGTGTGTTCCTCTTGTTTAAAGCATAGTTTCTCCTAGACTATTCTTTGCACTTGAGAGACTTCTGTCTGGGAAGAATCCTGGATGAATTTAAATATATGCATTTTAAGTAACTTCTTTTACCAGAGGAACATTTTAGTCTCACGAATCAGCTGATCACAGTAGAAACTCTGAAAAGGAGAGTGACATTTTCGTGTGTTTTTACAAATCCTGTGTCGTCTTTCATAGATTTACTCAGAATATTAGTCTGAATGTCCAAGTACTAATCAGAGATAATTAGATGTGCAAATGAGGATTTGGTTGATTCTGAAATTTGGGATCCTGCAGGTTCACAAAAGAACCGTAATATAATTTAAACAATAAAGGTTTTAGAAATATACTGACATATTATGCATACCATTCATTTTAGCTGAGGCTTTTTAAACAAATAATTCTTAATCATTTTAAACTATCATTGATTTAAAACAAAAACACTTCAGTGGTGTCATATCACAATTTTCATCTCTAGACTCATGACTCGGGTGTGTGGTGGTTTTTTTTTTTTTTTTAATTACTATCTAATTCTCTCTCTTTCGGCACTATTATAAGTGGTGGTTCAATGAAAAGGTCACAGTTCTGGTTTCCACTGACCAGCTTTCATGTTAAAATCCAAGTTAGTATGCTTTATTTTCAAATGGTAGTTCAGAAAGGTTAAGGGGAACACCTTATCTGAAATCACTAACTTGTAATGTTTCTATCTTTTAAAAAGATTTAAATAGCTTACTCTTTTTTTTTCTGGTTTTGTTTTAGGTGAAATTGTGGTAAATGAAGTCAATTTTGTGAGAAAATGTATTGCAACAGATACAAGTCAGTATGATCTCTGGGGGAAGTTGGTTTGCAGTAACTTCAAGATTTCATTTATTACGGATGATCCCATGCCACTTCAGGTTTGTTTCTCTCAGAATTGATAATCCTATTTATCATAAATCATGATGTAACACAATGGATTCGGTTAAACCACAATAAATTCCTCAAATAATTAAGAGGTCTAACCTCATTCTATAAAACAAAGGAAGTTCAAATATCCATCCTGAATTATTGGTGTGCCAATCCTTAATTTGCCGTATTGTATCTACAGATTGTAAGTTTTTGACATCAGAGTATTATTTTCCACGTCATTTGAACTACGGAATCAAAGCAGTACAGCGAGCTACTGTTTGCAGGAGGGTGTTTTGGGAAATGCTGTTAAAAAGCCAAACACTTTACTATTCGTTGGAAAATATAATGGAACACCCTACTGAATTCTGAGAATTCCAAGTTTCCTTTACGTAGATATAAGCACCAATTCAGCAAAATCTTTAATATGTGCCCAACTCCTATTGAAGTCAGTGAGGGAGAGGAAAGATACCAGTGAAATTATCATATTTAGTATAGAGGCAGCAATATATAACAATTAAGGCTGGTTGATCATAATAACAGAAAAGGGGAAAAAGCATGGCAAAACATGCAAAAGTCATAAACTTAGTTTAATTTGTAAACATCTTGGCAAATAACATTTTTAACTCCGTTTTAACAACCTTTATTGTATTATCATTTATACTTATTTTTCAATAAAAATTTCGTAATCATTTACAACTTTTTTTAAAAGTACTCAATTGCCTGCCTGGACACGTATTTAACTGCATTAGTGAAAATACTGAAGGAGTCTTGCTCAGTAGTGGCTAGTTGGGTGACAAAGGCCATGGCTTTTATGAAAAAGCAAATTTATTGTATTCATATTGTGTGTCATGTTAATCATAACTGTAACAACCTTAAAGTTTAATATAATTCTATTCCATGATATTCAGTGTCTTTGGAAACCAATAATATATAAGGCTTCAAAGGCATATTACTTTTAAATTAATATGTTAAATTAGCATTATATTTCCTTATCAAATGCATTTTTTCTTTCTGTCTCTTCGTCTGCTGTCATTTTTCTCATTCTTTCCTACAAAAACCCACAATACAGTATGTTAGATATGAAGTGATCCAATAATATTTCTCTGCTCTCTTCAAGTGGTCTGAGTTTAAACTAAATTTGTAAACTATAAAAATTACACTCCTTTGCACGCTTATACTCTTTGTAGCTCCTACACTTGTAAAATAGTACGTGACTATAGTAGCAGATGGCTAATTGCAGCATATATAATTGTTTTGGGCTCAGAGTACTGTTTTTGAAGTTTCCAACCTGGGGTCTGTAACTGCCCTGAGGAGCACTCCTCCACACTTAAATCTATTTTGTTACTTCTGGTGTTATAAAAAGGAATCTTTGACTCTGCTCGTGGAAGGTGACACGCATTTTTCTTTTCATAGTTGCAGTAATGGTTTTTCATTTTAAATTGCAGTAAGTTTGAAGCTGAAATGATTCATGATTAGGCTAGAAAACTCCAAGGAAATATTGTCTGTTAAACTTTCTTTCTATAGAATCCACATTGGTTTTTATTTGAGAAATATCTGTCAGTGTTCTCTCTAAATTGTGTTGTAAAATACATGCTAAAAACAATACTGCTGTAAAGCTCCTGTTATTTATCATGAGTTTCTCTGTTCCAGAAATTCCATTATAAAAACCTCCTCCTTGGTGAACATGATGTGCCGCTAACATGTATTGAACAAGTTGTCACAGGTATGGAAAAGTCATTTAAGTATGGTGAAAAGCTTAAAACATGAGTTTGTATGTTAAAGTTAAAATTATTAGCTGCTATCTATATTAAGGCACAATCGTGCACAGTTAAGGTTGAATTTCATTAGTCTTTCTATGAAGTACCTAAATTTAAATTAATTTGTAACAAGTCAGAAAAGCAATCAAAAGACTGGGTAAAATTCAAATCAGAAATTTTGCAAGACTTGCATTAAACTTGATTTTGATGTGCTTTTTAAGGTATGTGAGATTACAATTCTGAATCCATAATTGTTCAAGAAACAGTGCCTTTTTAACAACTGTTGGTTTTCCATTTAATTTTTAACTGTTTTACATATAATTGAACATCTCTTCCACCTTAAGATTTTAAATTGAAAAAAGATTACCAATGATTATAAGAATTACAATTATTTATAGGTGGTATTCCCACCACCAAGCCAATTGGGCCATAAACAACAAAATATTGCAGTTCTGATTTTAAGGTGATCTTGTTTCTCTAACTTTATAGTGCCTTTTAAACACATCATTAATCAGCAACCTCTGCAAGTGAATTTCTGTCTTCTGCCAGAAAGTATGCCGGAGTGTGTGTTGTTCCTGATTTTGAAGCTGTAAATTTGAAGCAAATTAAGTGGAATCTATTAGTTAAGTTTAAAATTAGAGAAACTTTCCTCCAGTTTTGGAGGACCAGCTTTTGGACCTTAGTGATCCAGCATAAGCTCCCATAGTATTTATTAAGATTGTCAAAATTATAGGATGAGCAGCTTTATACCGATAGATGGGAGTATCTCATTGGACCTTGCCTGTTGTCTCCACTGGGTAAGATAGAATTTTGATAAACCAACGCCATCATAACAAAGCTCCTGATGAGGCTATTCTCTCTGCAGAAAATTATAAAGACTGTATTGTTTGGTGGGCCTTGGTATTAGCAATTATTAATATAAATATTATATTTATAATATTAATTTGTATTAATATAAATAATAGAGGCTATTTTCCTGCAGGCTGGTTCACTGGTGTTATTTTTCCACTATATAGAAAAGGTGACCGAAATTATCCTGGGAATTACTGAGCAATTAATCTCTCAGATGGTTTTAAAAATCTATCCCAGATATTGGAGATTAGTGGATTGCATGGAGAGTTGTAATCTATTTGCATGGGAGCAAGCCGCTTTCAGGAATGGATGCGCCACGATTGATTGATTTTTGCCCGTACTCATTTGTCCCAAGGAAATAAAATAAGAGGTGGTCTCTGTCAATTTGAAATTGGCTTTTGATTCCATTAACAGAGGTCATCTCTGGGAGAAATTTGCAAGGGTTGGCACAGATTCCTAATCCTCCATAGCCAAACAGTGGATAATATTAGGATGGAGTGAAGAGGTGAGCTACTTGACCCTATTTCTATCACAAGGGGCATCCGCAGGGCTATGTTGTCCTCTTTCCTTTTTAACTGAATTAGGTTGTGATGGGTTTAGAAGGGGTGCTGTATTTCCCGTCCAAAATTTTGGACAGATTAGTGTCCGTCTCTTTACACCGGAGTCAAGGTTTTATTATTATTGTTGTTAGTGAAATGCCTAAAAAGTGACAGAGGCTGAGCAAGCAAGTTTTAAGAGGCAAAGATCAAATTGTATATAATCCCAGTAATGCTTCATTAGTCAATCATTTAGAAATGACCTTGCTAGGAGAGAACTCATGCTGAACAACCTGGGAGGCAAGATGGGTTGCTGAGAGGTGCCATATATGAAATCCTTTGTTTGTGGAATGTAATTATTCATCACCAATGGTCATTTGGACATAGGGGAAATGAGGATAACAGCTATAAGTCAATTTTGTTTGGAGAGCTAGACATTTGATCATAATGTGACTCGCAAGGAGCAGCATCTGTTCTACTCAAACAATATTAATTTTTACAGTATTGGTATCATCTGTATGTAACTAACAGTATTTTTCTTTAAGTGTATACTCTATACTTGATCTTTAACAATTTTTTGTTTTTTGTTTTAGTAAATGACACAAAGAGGAAACAGAAGGTCCTTGGTCCCAACCAGAAACTTAAATTTAATCCAACAGAATTAATTATTTATTGCAAAGATTTCCGTATTGTCCGATTTCGCTTTGATGAAGCAGGCCCTGAGAGTGCAAAAAAGGTATTAAAAACATGCAGTTTTTCCTTAAACTTCCTTATTGTGTTGGGGTTCCTGCAGTGTCAGCTCTGACATTATGGACTTTCTCTTTTTTTTTTTAAAGCTCTTGATAGAGATTAAAGAAGACTAATTCAGTCTCACCAATTAAAACTACCTTTTAGTCTTTCTAAAATGCAGATATGTAATAGTGTTTTAAGATAACTTGGTTACAGAAAATCATCTCAGGATGAACTGAGAATCTTTTGTAGTACAGATGAGGTAAATGCCTAAACATTGATGTAACAGAAGATGTTATATAGTGTATTTTCACTAATACATCAGGAAAATACGTATGTAGATATTTGAATGCTTCTAGATTAAAGGCGCTAGTGTCTGAAGTATGTTCACTTAAGAGGTGCAGTGCAGGAAGTGTTTATTTTCCCAGTATACACCAACTTTGTTCTGGAAAGCCCTCACTGTCATCAAGTGTGCTAATTATAATAGTGATGTGCTTTGATGTGATTACCTATTCACTAGAAAATGGAACTCGTTTAAATATGCCACTAGACAACTTTTGGATATTAATTGTTTTCGCCATTGTGAGAGGTCAAATTCAGACCCAAAGGTGAAAGGCCAATTACCAGTTTCCTGCATCATCAAAACTTAAAGCATGGTGTTTAGACCTCACGTAGATGCATATTTATACATCTGCTTTATATGTTCCTTTCCAGATGTGCACTCAAAAATCTCCTATTGTGTGTACACATAGCTAAATGTGTAGTTAGTCATGTGCATGCGCAAATTGGAAATTTGAGCAAATATTTTCTAATATGCACTTGCATTGTGTGCCTACAGTTGTGTAATTTCCACCCCAGGTAAGTGTACTCTTTCAGTGCATTAGTGAAATCAAATCTGTTCTACTTTAAAAACTGACGGCAGACTTAGGGAACCAGTATTTTAAAGGTTGGTTTAAAACTTCCAAGGCTGCAGTCAAATGATATATTTGAACTACATATCCCACTGCATAGATTGTGTTACAGCTGAAAATGGAAAATGTTAGGTACTTCCAAGTGTGTAGTGGAAATTTTTAACCTAAAGTTACCCAAAGGTTAGAATGCTGAAATTTAAATATGCCTCCTGGAATCTGGGCAAGTATTTTCTGGCAAATGCTTGGAGTTCCAAATTTGTCGTCAATTCCAAGTGAATGTTTGGAATTTAGTAAAGGCTGAACAACAAGACCATTCATTGGCACTTCCTGATACATTGGTGCTGGGCTTTTTAAATTCTGGGAAGACTGATGTAGAAAAGGAATCTGATTCCTTCAGGAGGGAATGTAAAAACTATAAAATCCTAGATCCAAAACAGATTAGATAGTTTATTAGCTGTGTTCCTATTTTCAATGTTTAGAAGCGAATTTCCTGACCTGCAAACTGGTTTGTACTCCTCAAACAAGCAACCTAGACTGTTGATATTTCCGATGATGTAGACTTTCCTGCTTCTCCCATTGAATTCTTCTCTGGCTCGCTGCACGTTTCTTTTTTAAACAGGAAAATAAATGCAACTTGTACAAGCAGCATATTCTATCTGGCATCACCACTTTTATATGCCTAGTTAGTTGGCACTAACAAAATAAACCAACCAACAGTTCTTTTAACCAATAAAGAATTGGGAATGTTCAATAGCTGTATTTGATGAGCAGAAACTCAGTTTACAGAACCATTTCTGCTCATTGACTCATTGGTCTGGACTGGAGGCATATGGTATTTTGAATATATAAATGCTATGTAAATATACATTGTTATAAAGGATGGTGCCTGTGATCTCTAAGTGAGTAAACTTTCAAATTTCAAATATTAGAATGTGTTCGTTAGAGGGAGTGGGGAAAAAACAGTTACTGCAAATCTGAACTTTTTAATTATGTGAATGCTGTGCACCTACATAATTTTGAAGACTAAAGTACATTCAGGTGGTGGTAGCACCTTTCCTTCACTGGAGGGCAAAATGACAAAAAATCAACTTTCTGGCTAATGCAGAATGATAAGAACACTTCACATATGTAAACTGAAGTTTTGGTCCAGTCAGGATTTTGTTTAATTAGATTATTTTAGGATGTAGCTTAATCAGAGAAGAAGGAACCTATGATATCTTGGATCAGATGCTTCTGTCCCAAGATGTTTAGCTTACATCTTTCAGATCTGTGCTGTGACATGCTTTTTTATCTGGCTTCTGTTTCTTCCCTACTCACTTTTTCAGCAGTGAGTAAGAGACTGTTTTGTCTATTGGTGAATCTTTGTGAGGGGAGCCTAGCCAGCCTTTTTAAACCTACAATTTTGAGGACTCCTTTAATATTACTTGTGCACTGTCCATGCAACATTAACTGTGGATACAAAATTATGTCTACAATTCTGCCTACAATTTGTGGGTGCAAAAAAGGAGGGCCACATCTTTAAAAATCCGGGTCTTCTGAATTCTATTGGGAGAAAATCTTATCGAGTTTTCTTTGGCTCAGAGGTGGCATAGTGTATTTTAAGCTACATAAAGTTCTAGAGAAATTCCAACTTTTCCCCTGGGAAAAATCAAAATATGTATGTCTCTGCTATACCGTTTTTTGCCTAATTAATTTGTGTGCCGCTTCTTGTGCTAGGTTATGAACTATTCATGAAAACTATGAACTGCATGGAATTGTATATTTATAAATTCCTCCTAGGGCTTGTGGATTGAACAATTTAAATTAAAGGATGTCTATTTCAAATATTGGGTAATGAGACTGTAAAGCTCAGCAGTTGGGTCATGAACTGTGAATTGGTTGGACTAATTCAACTGAAGACAAATGTGAGAGATTTATAACAGAAAAAGGTGGCCCCAGATAGCATTTTTTTCCTTTCTTGACAGTTTAAAATAATTGGGAAGAAAAGTCAGATAGTAGAACTGACCCTGACCCATTGTTACAGATTCTGTTTCATTGTCGGAGGCTGCCTCCATTTAAAATCAGAAGCCTACCAATGAAGCAGTTGTAGTGACTGAACTTTAGTGATTTATAAATCAGATCCCAAACATGACATTTAATTTGGAAAATTTGCATAACTGAACTTGGCTGTGCAAGTCAGAGCAGAGGAATTCCCCTTGGGCTCCCAGAGTGAGCATGATCTCCTTAGGACAGTGTTCCTCTGTGTCATGAATGAAGTCACTGTTGAAGCAAAACAAAGACACTTACCTTTTCACTGTGTCTGTAGAAGACCTTGAGATATCTAAACATAGTAAACATCAAAAAACGTATTCACTGCTGGAAACCCGGACAACTTAAGTCTTGCACTCTGCAAACTGAGACTGTGTCTTACTTTGAAAAGCAGGTATTTAGAAAAACTTGAATAGAATTATTTAAAAAACTAGCTTTGAATTCCCCTTAACCTTTTCACATATTTGGTGTTTGGAGGCCTGATACTGTATACACCTGTAAAGAAGAGTAATTTGAGTCATGTGAGTAGTCCCTTGAAATGAATGGGACTATTTCTCTGAGTCAGGTTGTGCATCAGTGTTTACAGGCTTGGGCCAAAGAATGTGGTCTATCCCTAAGGAGAGTGAGCTTAGGGGATGTTTTTCTGGGGGAGGGAGAGGAGGAAGAATAGGCTCTAGTAGCAAAGCCATTTGTTAGTTTTCCAACACTTATGAGACCTTCAGGAACTGATAGTACTGATCTGTGTCTAAAATGGAAAAAAAATAAGTTTGAAGCTATTGTAGCCAACATAGGGGACATATAGTTGATTATTTGACTGTATCCATAAACAAATATGCTGTGTTAATCATACTGATACAACTTTAGAAGCTCATTTTTTCTGATTTTCCCCACATACACCCCATACCCAAATTGCTCAGAAAAACTTTACCTGAGGTTGCCAGAATGTTTGAAATTTCAGGAGGATTAATTTATTTTGGGGGAAATTACTATGAAGGAGTTTGAAAATCAGGATTATAATAAGAAGCTAGCTTCAGTCTTAACTATGGAACAGCAGCCAATGTGCTTCTTAAATGCTCCCTTGCACTCTTAAGTTGCATGTCTGTTTGAAGCGGCATGATATAGATACAAGGTTGGGCTACTGAATCATAGGGGAAATCGCCAGACCCATCATTATTTTACAATTTGATTCAGCTGTTTTGCCCTTAAATTAAAGCTGAGAAGCCTCCAAAAGAAGAAAAACCAGATGGGTGTGGGAGGAAGGGGAAGTAGGAGTAAGAGGGTTAGGGGAAGGCTTAAGCCAGGAAACTTGAAAAGAGAAGTAATGGCTATTTTTACAGTTTAAATTAAAATTCTTGCTTTTCATTAAATTCAGTTATGATTAAATGTGGTAATAATCAAAAAGGACTGCTATCTTCTGGCCATTATAGCAGCTGGCAGGGCCGGCTCCAGGCACCAGGCAACCAAGCACGTGCTTGGGGCGGCACCTGGTAAGGGGCGGCCAATCTTGGAGTGGCGGGGGGCAATGCGGCGGGGGGGGGGAGGGAAGTTCCGGCAGCGTGGCGCTCGGCAGGGGGTGTTTGGCGGTGCCACGCTCAGCAGGGGGTGTTTGGTGGTGCTCCATGCGGGAGGTGGGGGCAGCTTCAGCAGTGCAGTGCTGCGCGGGGGGTGGAGATGTTCGGCGGCGCGGCACTCGGTGGGGATTTCGGCGGCGCGGCGCTCCACAGGGGGCGGGGGCTGTTTGGCAGCACTCCGCGCGGGGGGTGTGCCAAACTGTTTGGTCAAACTGCCAAATAAGACTGACCAGGGATGCATCATTCTGGGATATTATCACTTCTTTGGTGGCTGCAAGATTTTGCCTTTGGCATGTTGCCTGAAAATGCATGTGGGACTTGGCAGTACAAAAGAGTGGCACACGCCCTGTAGTGTCCTACTGCCTAAATATATCTGCAATTTCTCGGACTTTCCAGTCTCCAACGCCCACATCTCCATTCCTCTGAGAAGCCTTTTTAAAAATGTGTAGTGTGTATGAGATCTATATTATATACACAGTCACCTAATTAAACAGGGA